AAAAAAAAAGAAAAAAAAAAAAAAAAAAAAAAAAAAAAAAAAAAATTAACCTATGGAAACGTGCTTGGTTTCTTTCTTCTCGTTCCTTGCCTTTTATTATGTTTTATGGGCCTACCTGTATTATGTACCTTCATTGATTTTATTTTAATCAATTTTTTGGGATTATGTTTGAGAGACTTAAGTGAACGTTCTGCATTTCTGGAGCGATTTCAAAAATTCCGCGTTTGAACGTGATTGGTCCAGCTCAATTTGTCTTTTAATATTTTGTTTAAAATTCTTACTTTGAAGAAATTTTTTATTTTCAACATATGTACCCTATTTCATATATTCTGAGCCTTCCAACAAACACTGGTTTCACTTCCAGACACTCCATTCCAAGGGGACATTAAAATCCCGTCGCTCTTGAAATGTGTTCATCCTTTGACTCCTGAAAAAGCTTAAATTTTTATCTAAGAATGCTGACGACCTTGATCACATTACAAAAGAATGCCAATAGTACAATTCTGGAAACATGTAAATCTTTAGCTAATTTCCATTTTAGAATTAGTTATTCGTAGATAATTTTAAATCTGGAACGTGCAATTGGGTAGGAAACTAGAAACATAATATCTGTCTTTGTTTCTGTTTAGGTTCGCACTAAGGAGACAGGACTTAACAGCTAGATGGTACTGGAAAGGCATTTTTTTGTTAACATTTTGAATGGAAAGCTACGCTTTCTCTCACAACGGTATAGAAAAGAATTTAGAGTAGGTTTCGGGTAGATATCCAATCAAAAAGTAGAGTTGAATTTAACTTTTTTTTTGGCTGATTTGGTCCAATCAGGGATTAAGAAGGATTAAGCATCTATTTGCATAGAAGGCCTACAAAAATAGCCAGCTACGGTGTTGAAACGATTCATTCTTGGGTGTATTCTTTGTTCCTTTAGCTTTTTGTGATTCCTCAGCCAGCTAACCCCACTTCCACCCTGAAGAAAGGCCCCAAGAAGGCGGGGACCAAGGTGCAGAAGAAGGACGGCAAGAAGCGCAAGCGCAGCCGCAAGGAGAACTACTCCGTGTACATTTATAAGGTGTTGAAGCAGTTGCGCCCTGACACCGGCGTCTCCCCCAAGGCCACGGGCATAATGAACTGCTTCCTAAACATCTTCGAGCACATCGCAGGCGAGGCTTCCCGCCTGGCGCATTTTAACAACCGCTTGACCATCATCTCCAGGGAGATCCAGACGGCCGTGCGCCTGCTGCTGCCTGGGGAGCTGGCCAACCACGCCGTGTCCGAGGGCACCAAGGCTGTCACTAAGTACACCAGCTCCAAGTGAATGTAAGCATGTTCAAACCCGAAGACTTCAGAGCCAGTTAGCCATCTCAGTTAAGAATTTTAATACTGGGTACTGCTGTATTCATCCTGTTCCTCTGACTCTTAGTTTTTAGGGCTTATTTGTCTTTTTAAAGGTGGTGTCTTACTATATTATCCCAGGCTGTTAACGCAGCTCGGGCAATTTTTCCCACTTCGGTCTTGCCTTGTGTGACTGAGGCAGATAATTTGACACAACAGGAAAAGTGGACATTCTTGTTTGCGAACTAAAAAATGAGTGTGTAGTTTAAGATGCAGTGAATTCCAGGAAGTACTTTTACCAAGCTGGAACTGGTCAGTTTGAATATTAATAAGTTGAAACTACAATGAGAGCCTTTAATGGTGAGCCCATACTAGATAGCATAATGTGGTATTTGGAGGCGTCTCAGGAAGGTTAATGTCAACTGGAATATAGTTTACCAACTACCTGAAAAAAATTTCAAGGTTTTTTAAAAATGGAATCTTGTCTGTGGTCCAGGCTGGAGTACAGCAGTGTAATCTTGGCGTACTGCAACCTTTGCCTCCCCGGTTCAAGCAGTTCAGTGTCAACGACCAGCCCTAAAAATTGCGATTTCTTAATAGACGGTGGCTAGGAGACATATTTTATGGGGATGAAAAAAAGTACCATGGGATAAACCTTTAGTTACTCTGCAAGTAGTATGTGGGGTTTTAGGTGTCATTGAAAAAATTTAGATTTGTAAAACAAAGTTGAGCAGAGTATAAAAAACAAAGGACCTGGCAACAATGTGTCTTTACTTTTAGGTAAGGGTTGGCAGTCACCAAAGAAGCCAGGCTCAGGCCCTCTTAACTTAAAAAGGCTAACAGGAATCACTAAAAATATGTGTACAATTTGTGCTGTGGATTTTTTAAATACTGAGATTACCGATTGTAATGGTGGGGTAATACAGGCTGAAACTCCTACCTTCCTCCACTCTCATAGGCATTTCTCTTGTGGGGGTAGCAGGAGGTAAAGGAAGAGTATTTTTAAGATCCTAGATTTGAGATGTACCTAAAAATTTTTCCTCAAAAGTATCTGGTAGATGGACTAATTCTTTGAGTTTATTCATTTATTGAGAAGCTATTAAATTACGGAAAATATTTAGGAAAGAGCAGTGAGAAAGATAGAAATGTTCCCTGTTCTTTACCTGGATTGAAATCGAAAGTGGATATTTATACAATAAACTCAAAAACTAAAGAAGGAAGCATAGGCCAGACGCGTTGGCTCACGCCTGTAATCCCAGCACTTTGGAAGGCCAAGGCAGGCAGATCACCTGAGGTTGGGAGTTCAAGACCAGCCTGACCAACATGGAGAAACCCCACCTCTACTAAAAATGCAAAATTAGCAGGGCGTGGTGACATATGCCATAATCCCAGCTACTGGGGAGGCTGAGGCAGAAGAATTGCTTGAACAATCCAGGAGGTGGAAGTTGTGGTGAGCTGAGATCACGCCATTGCACTCTAGCTTGGGCAACAAGAGCGAAACTTAATCTCAAAAGCAAAAAAAAAAAGGAAGCATAAGTATGAAGGTCATTTTTTTTTTTCTTTTAACTGGCTTTTAATGGGACTGAATTTAAATTCCCTAAAACTGAATTAACCTACTCTAAAAAACTTGCAAGTTCCAGAAGGCAGTTCTGGAGGGAGGGTGGAGCAAGAGAGATAGTAGAAGAGTAGCCAACAGCATGGATTTCGAAACTAGACATTCTTGCCTCCTCCCTAGGGGCCAGGGAGGAGGAGTAGAGAGACAGCCATGAGAGAGGAATGAAGAGAACAGAGTTCAAGTCTGTATTGATGGCACTGCAATTAAAAATAGAGGCTACTCATTTATATTCCCATCTAGCCATGTTTCATCACTGGTTGATAAGGATTTCATAGAAGTGCTTTACTAAAATGTATAACCACACTGAAATGTAGAAAGTAATATGATAAGACAGCAAATATTGTATGTTATTTATGCAAATAATTTTTTAATAAAAGATTTTTAAATGTTTACCTGTATAACTTAGTATTTGATGCCTCTGGAACTAACAACATAAAATAGTTACTAGTTAATGAAAATCTACTTTTCCGTCACACAAAGCTAATACAGCTCAGACATGGGAAGACATGGGAGTTCTAATATCCTTAGAAAATTTCTCTCTCTACATACACATACACACACACATATACATAAAACGTGTGTGTGTGTGTTTGTCTTATTATTTGAAATATTCTCAAATATATTCTGCTATGGAGGACCTAGCCAACAAACGGGACAGATGAAATTCATAAGACGTGTTAAGTATTACCTACACAAGAGGTTTGCGAGATGTAGACAAAATTCAACACCTATATTTATACTCAATCATAAATGAGTAGCCTTTGAGACATGTTAGACATAGAGAAAGCAGGGCTTGTGTGTGCTGCGCTACTCAGAGACAGGAAAAGATGAAAGAAACAAAGCTGCCAAACATTTGTGAGGCACCATGTATTCATAAAGTACTCAGTATTTATGGGATCATAAATTGACTGCCCACTGCTAACACCCATTTTAGCTGTTTCATTGGCCCTCTATAGACAACCTGCAGACGAAAGGCATGGCTGCTCAATATGTCACTGTAGAGCAATATAGGTGGCTGTATATTAATGGAGCAAGGCTATGTTGGCTCCACATAATTTACATCTGCTGACTCCTTTGCTTATCATGAACTGTTTCTCAAAATCACCCTGTCGGCGAGGAAAATATGCGAGGGGGAGGGAGAAGCCTCACACATATGACATGCATCACCAAGGATTCAGGCAATGAGACTCCTTTACAACCTATCTGAAACGTGTTCACTTGCCAAAGCTCCTTTCCTCCTTGTTTCTTGCTGTTACAACTTGATTCAATAAAATTAACCCATGGAGCTCAGGAAACATGTGAGACTCTTCAAAGCCTCTGGAACAGCCTGCCTGGTAGTGTATTTGGAGGTTATGGCATTACTTTTCCACATAACATTGTAATTTTGTCTTTCTCAATATATGCCTGTTCCAGCTTCAGCTATCACATTTACATTTAATCCTGAAGAATGGCTCACGCCTGTAATCCCAGCACTACGGGAGGCCGAGGCAGGAGGATCATCTGTCAAGACATCGAGACCAGCCTTGGCCTACATGGTGAAACCCCGTCTATACTAAAAATACAAAAAGTGGCTAGACATAATAGCGCACGCCAGTTATCCCAGCTAGTTGGGAAGCTGAAACAGGAGAGTCACTTGAATCAGGGAAGTGGCAGTTGTCAGCCAAGATTGCGCCATTGCACTCCAGCCTGGGTGACAGAGTGAGACCCTGTCTCAAAAAAAAAAAAAAAAAAAAAAAACATTGGAAAGAACTGCTTCAGTTAGGAATTTAAGAAAACAATACAACTCTAGAATCAGATGTTCATTTTAAGGTGAATTGGCAGCACTGACTTCAAATGTTGCTGTTTGCAATCAGCATAGGGCTTGGGAAATCAGAAAAATACCTTGAAAAGTGAAATCAGGGCTATATGGTCAGACTGAATGCCTATGGTGAGTGAGATTAGGCTGAGTTTGAAGTCCAATGGCACTGTTTTTTGTTTTGTTTTTTGAGACACGGTCTCACACTGTCACACTCTGAGTACAGTGGCGCGAACACAGCTCACTGCAGCCTTGACATCCCTGGACTCAGGTGATCCTCCCAAGTAGCTAGGATTACAGGGACACACACCAAAATGCCTGGCAAATTTTTAAATATTTTTTGTAGAGACATTTTTCCTTGTTGCCCAGGCTGATCTCAAATTCCTGGGCTCAAGTGATCCACCTGCCTTGGCCTCCCAAAGTGCTAGGATTACAGGCATGAGCTACTGTGCTGGTCAATGCCTTTGTTTGTTTGGTTTTTTCTTTTTTTGAGACAGAATTTCGCTCTTGTTACCCAGGGTGGAGTCCAATAGCATATCTTGGCTCACCACAGCCTCCACCTCCCGGGTTCAAGTGATTCTCCTGCCTCAGACTCCAGAGTAGCTGGGATTACAAGCATGCACCACCACGCCCGGCTAATTTTGTATTTTTAGTAGAGACAGGATTTCTCCATGTTGGTCCTGCTGGTCTCGATCTCCCGACCTCAAGTAATCCTCCCGCCTTGGCCTTCCAAAGTGCTGGGATTACAGGCATGAGCCACCGCTCACGGCCAGCTATGCTGTTTTAAATACCCATTCTAGTTTCAGCAATCTGGTATAGAAGCTCCCATTCTACCTGGCTTAGTCCTGTCCTCTATCTTGCAACTGACTTGGAGACACACCTATTTGAGTCAACGTTCTTTATGTATTGACTCCCCCTGCCCCCCACCCAAGAAGATTCAACCTTGCCTTTTGCTTTGTTTATTTATTTATTTATGAGATGGAGTTTCACTCTTGTTGCCCATGCTGGAGTGCAATGTGCAATGGCATGATGTGTGCTCATTACAACCTCCGCCTCAAGGATTCAAGCAATTCTCTGCCTCAGCCTCCTGAGTAGTTGGAATTACAGGCATGTCCTACCACACCCAGCTAATTTTATATTTTTAGTAAAGATAGGATTTTTCCATGTTGGTCAGGCTGGTCTCCAACTCCTGACCTCAGGTGATCCACCCACCTCAGCCTCCCAAAGTGCTGGGATTACAGGTGTGAGCCACTACCCAGCCGCCTTTTGCTTTAAAAAGCTCAGCTTTCTCATTTCAAGATACTCAGCCTTGTTCCTCAAAGCCTTCCACATCTGAAATGCCCAGCTTACTTGAATCAAACCACAAAGGTGAATGACAAATTGTCCTTATTACCTAGAAAACAATGTATATAACTTATCAAACAAAAATAACCAAAGGGTCAGAATTTATTTCTATTGTTTTTGTTTAAGCCCTTCTTGCATACTGAAGAATAAAAAGAATTTATTCAAGCACAAAGTTTAAGGATGGACCACCTGGAAACTACAAAGTAATAGATACCATTTTGAAATAGGGAAGTTCAGATTTGATTTATGTGGAC